GGGCGGGCCCCGCGCAGCAGCGCGTCTTCGCAGAGCCCCGAGGCGGCCTCGCCCGCCCCCCGTTGCTGACCCCGCGCCCGAGGAAGAGCCTGGTCCCGCCGCGATACTGTCTGGCAGCGGGGAGCCCCGGCTGGCCTCCAGGGGCTGCAGGCTTCCGTGCCGCGTTTGTGACGGACAGCGGGTTCCTGTTCTCTACAAGAGAACCCGGGCTGACTGGCTCCCGCCAACAGCAGTGACGTCATGGGCATCCACCCGGAGTATGAAGAAAACTCGGCTCAGTGCTGCCCTCCTGTGGTGCGCTCCGAGTACTGCAGGCGCGAGGAGCGGAGACGACCCCGCTGCTCGGTGCTGCCCTTCGGTGGTCCCGTCGGGGCATCTCCGCTCTGTGAAAATAGCGTAAAATGAATAACAGGGAGCTGAAGTGACGGTATTATTGATGTCCTACTTAGTTTGGAAAACTTACATTGTGCAGAGATGTATCCAGTAAGGCTGTGTGTGTATACCGATACGCAGATAGTGTTTGAGTGTGTATAATACACACCGTTATTAACACAGTTATCTCTCGCTGTGTCTCTGTCCATGGCGACAGTAATGTAGGTGTTGTTCCGCTATCATCCTTGCACATCAGCGCACACGAGTGCCTGGAGTTTGTGCGGGTATGACAGGTTGCAGTGGGCATCCACACTTAGTATGGAGGAAAACCCGGCTCAGTGCTGCCCTCCCGTGGTGAGCTCCAAACACTGCAGCCACGAGGAGCCGCTCCGCGGAGGGGAGACAGACCCGCTGCTCGGTGCTGCACTCGTGTGGTCCCGTGTCTGAAAGAAATGCCCGCAGTGCTGCCCTCCCGTGGCTCGCCCTGCGCAGCGCAGCCAGGAGAGGAGGGCGGAGAAGAAGGGAAAGGGCCGCCGGCGCGTTTCTAACGGGGCTTCGCGGCCCGGGGATCCCGGCACGTCACAAAACAGGCTCAGTGCCGCGGGCCGGAGCTTCGCACTGGGCAGCCAGGAAATTCAGCCGGAGAAATAAAACCAGGCCCGGTGCTGCCGTGCCGTGCTGCACAGCGGGCAGTGCAGCCGGGCAACAAGGGTCGAGAGAGAGGCAAGCAGCTCGGTGCCGCCGGGCTGCGGGTCTTGCGGCACATTGCAGCTGGTGGAGAAAAACGGAGAGAGAGGAGGAAAAAAGGCCTCGCTAGCTCGCTCGGGGCGTCACTAGAGCAGTGAGCGCGGCCGTGACGGACACACGAGTCACGGACATTCATTCCGGGCCGGGATCAGAGGCCCGGGGTTTCATTGGCCGCCCAGAGACATGAGGCGATTGGGTGGCGTGTCCGCAGAGGCGGAGTCAGGTCCGCTTCGCCCTTCTTCGCTCTCATTGGCTTTGCCAGAAGAAGGAGGGCCCAAAAGAAAGTCCTCCCTCCGATCGCATTCTGATTGGCTGCCAGGGCATGGCGGGCGCTGTGTACTCCTCTGTGTTCCGATTGGTCCGACTCCGATCCGAGGCGGCCCCGCTCCATTGGTTGTCCTCTCGTTGCCGGGTCCGCTGTGCCCGGAGCCCACGTCCCGCCGCAGCCCCGCACACCCGGGCGGGGCCGGAGAGCTGCGGCGGGATGTCATGGCCACCTCGGCGGGACCCTGCGTTCCCGGGACGCGGGGCCTGTCGGGCTCTGTTCTGCGCTCGGTTTCGAAGCGTGAAGCTGTTTGTCCCGGTGCCTCTTTTCTCTCCGCCTGCCGCCTGGGGAGCCTCCCTGTCTCCTCCATGTGCTTTTTCTCTGCCTTTCAACCCCGCATCCTCCGCGCAAGGAGGGCGGCACGGAGCCGGCTTTGTTCCGGGTCGGGATTTCCGGGCTCCAGCCCCAGGCGGGCGGCGCGGAGCCGGCTGTGGTGCCCGCCCGGGTCTCCCCGCCGCAATGCCCGGCGCGGCCACAGGGGGGGGGCGCCCTGTGGTCCGCTCCTAGCACTACAGCCCCGAGGAGCTGCGCAGCGGAGGGGAGACGAACCCGCTGCTCGGTGCTGCCCTCTGGTGATCCCGTCGGGGCATCTCTGCTCGGTGTGAAAAAAGTATAAAATAGAGAACAGGACGTTGAAGTGACGGTGTTATTCATTTCGTACTTACACGGGGCGCTGCGGCGCCCTGGTCCCGCCGCGATACTGTCTTGCAGCGAGGAGCCCCGTCTGGCCTCCAGGGTTTGCAGGCTTCCGTGCCGCGTTTGTGAACGACAGCGGGCTGCTGTTCTCTACAAGAGAACCCGGGGCTGACGGTGGCTGCCGCCAACAGCAGTGACGTCATGGGCATCCACCCGGAGGATGAAGAAAACCCGGCTCAGTGCTGCCCTCCGGTGGTGCGCTCCGAATACTGCAGGCGCGAGGAGCGGCGCTGAGGAGGGGAGACGAACCCGCTGCTCGGTGCTGCCCTCAGCTGGTCCCGTCGGGGCATCTCTGCTCGGTGTGAAATAGTATAAAATAGAGAACAGGGCGTTGAAGTGACGGTGTCATTCATTTCGTACTTACTCTGAAAAACTTACATTGTTCAGAGGTGTATGCAGTATGGATGGGTGTGTTTGTATAATACACACCATTATTAATAAAGTTATCTCTCGCTCTCTCCATGGCGATACTGATACAGCTGTTCAACTATCATCGTTGCAGATCACGGCATACCAGTGTGTAGTTAGCGCGGGTATCACCGGTGACACAGGGCATCCAGACTTGGTGTGAAGACAAACCCGGTTCAGTGCTTCCCTCCGGTGGTGAACTCCGAGCACTGCAGCCACGAAGAGAACGCTGCGGAGGGGAGACAAACCCGCTGCTCGGTGCTGCCCTCCTGTGGTCGTATCGGGGTATTGACGCAGTCCGTGAAGGATGAGACAAATCCCTGCTCAGAGCCGCCCTCCTGTGGCCGCGCCGGGCATTGCG